ATGAATAATGTCCTCACCCGTTTGCCTGATAAACCTTTTTGTCAGCACATGCCAAGGCTGCACTGGCTGTAAGTTGCTGTATCTTTTCTTAAAGAAGTTAACTAACTTTTCTAGTTCTGCCTAGTTCACTTGGATATTAGATTGTTTTTTAATGATAAGTTATTAATATCATCTCACATTTCCTCAAATTACTTTAGCATGATTTTATTAAACATCCCCATTATCTAAACTAACTCCTCTAAACTTTCACTGGAATAAAACATCTCAAAGCAAACAAACAAACAAAAACTACTTGTAAGCAAGAAGTAGGAAGACAGAGGAGTGTCATGGTGTCTGTATAACAGCTCTCCCTCCCCGCATCGACCTAGTCATCTGTTAATTTGGTACGGAAAGACAAAAGTTCCTAATTTTTACATAATGAGAATATATTTAGAATTTACTTTTTATTTTTTTTAGCTGAGCCATCCTGCCACCTGTTGGCAGCTCAGTGGTACCTCAGCTCGAGCCTGTTCTTTTTGTTTTTTTGTTTGTTTGTTTTTTAAGCTGAGCCATCCTGCCACCTGTTGGCAGCTCAGTGGTACCTCAGCTCGAGCCTGGAATCAAACCAGCAACCTGTTGCTCAGAGCTCAAACTCTTGAGCGAGCTCTTAACCAAGTGAGCCACTCGGCCAGCCCTAGAATTTATTTTTGAAGTCTGATCCCAATAGAATATGTTCCATGCAATTTGTTACACAGTAGTTTTGCTTGTGGTAATAAGTATCACTCTACCTATTCAGAACTCAATTACCCAGTGAATTAGTCTATTTAAAATACAGGTAAAAATGAAGAAATAAATAGCCAAAATAACTATTGAAAAGTTCAATCAATAAACAGTATATGCAGTATTATATGAAAATTTTCTGTTTCACATTTTGTAAGAAATTATGAAAAGTTTTGCTGTTTAATTTCTAAGTTCACAGTAGATTAAAAGTGCCAAAATAAAAGTCAGTGGCGGAAGAGAGGGGAGGTTAGAGTAAAAAACATTGATTTTAGTAAGTGACAACTATCAATCTGAATAAAGCAGAAGTGAGAAACGCTATAAAATGCAGATGTAGTCATTCAAAACATACTAGTTTG